GCCATGAAAAGCTCAAGGTAAAATAAAAATAAACCACAACAACGATTTTAGTATCCTGAGAACATGATAGCTAAGGCCCAAACTGGGACTAAATATTTCACTGTGCTTAGCCATCAACTTAAATAATTTAATAAGCGAAATTATTTACCAGAGTACTACAAGCAATGGCTTCAACTTCAAAGGACGTGGCGAAGCTTTACAGCCCTCGAGAGGGGCCTGTTCTATATTCGATAATCTCTGATATACCTCACCATCTCTTGGTAACTCAGCCTGTATACTGCCTAAACAGTCTCATAGGAAGTCACCCCACCTATTAATTATTCTTTTATCAGTCCCCTTGATAAGCTGGTCATCCACTTTATCATCTCTTATTCTTGTACAATAATCTGCATGATTGATTTTACCATCAAGACCCCTGTCCATAATGTAATTCATCTCAGCTCCAGCAGAAACTAACCGAGCCCCATTTGACTGGCAGAATGTGATTCAGAGCTAGTCTCAGGCTTCAGCATAGTTATTTATTTAATTTTTTTTTTTGAGACAAAGTCTTGCTCTGTCACCCAGGCTGGAGTGCAGTGGTGCGATCTCAGCTCACTGCAACCTCCACCTCTGGGTTCAAGCGATTCATGTGCCTTAGCCTCCTGAGTAGTTGGGACTATACGCATGCACTACCATAACTGGCTGATTTTTGTATTTTTAGTAGAGACAGGGTTTCTCCATGTTGATCGGTCTGGTCTCGAACTCCTGACCTCACGTGATCCACCTGCATCAGCCTCCCAAAATGCTGGGATTACGGCAGTGAGCCACTGTGCCCGGCCCGGCTTCAATGTTGAATATGCTGCAGGTTCACTGGCTGTTTCTTCATAGCAGAATATACTAACATTATTATAATAAATGTCCTAACTACTGTTATATTTCCAGGAGTACTACATGATGTCTTTATACCAAAAATCTATATAATTAATTCCATTACCAAACTCTCCTACTGAGAACCCTGTTTCTGTGAATCAGGGCATCAGACCCATGAGTTTGATATGATAAACTTATGCGTCTTCCTGTGAAAAAACTTTCTATTCCTTACGCTAGCCCTATGCATATAGAATGTTTAAATACCTGTCCTAATACCTACTATTCAACCACAAACATGGGAAATACGTCTGATAAAAGAGTTACTTTGATAGAGTAAATTATACAGGTTTAAATCTTCCTATTTCTAGAATTACAGGAAATGAACCTACTCCTAAGAAGTCAAAATTCTCCATGCTATCTGATACACCATGTCCAATAGTAAGGGCGGTTAATAAGTAAGGGCAGCTTACCCTATATTAAGGGTAGCTAAATAAGCTATCAGGCCCATACCCCAAAAATGCTGGTTTATACCCTTCCTGTATTAATCAGTTCCCTGATCTTCCTCACTATCCTATTCACTATTTTTACAGAAACTGTTATCAGAGTAATTGCCTTACACTCTCTCCTAATGTGAAAGGATTAGAAATAAATATGCTAGTCATCACCCCCATCTTAATAGAAAAGGCCAACCCCAGGCCGGGAGTGGTGGCTCACACCTGTAATCTCAACACTTTGGGTGGCTGAGATGGGTGGACCACTTGAGGCCGGGAGTTCGAGACCAGCCTGGGCAACATTCATAGGGAGTGAGGCCATGTGTGGTAGTGAATGACTCATTCAAAGTTTTCATGGCTTCAGGGAGATTCTTAGTCTAGGACCTCAAAGAGCCATCCTGGGACAGTGCTCATATATGGGTCTTTAGCAGGGCACTCTTCCACCGAGGTCTGCCCCAGTGGGTTACATGAGATGTGGAACCTCCAGTCTATGGATTATTCTGATGCCCAGTGCTGGAAATCATGGCCCATGAAAGGGGGCCCTGATCTCTATCTGTCCTTTTAGGCATGCCATTCGTGACACTAAGAGCAGTGAGACACTTCATGGTCTCCAGTTGGGTGGCACGTTTTACACGGAAGGCCTGTGGTAGCCTCATTGTCATAGCCACACAGGTTAAGACATCCCTTTTGCCTCCGCTCTGGGGCAGGGGCCCAATAAAATTGACTCACCAGTCCCGCAAAGGTTGTATGGCTCAATGTATATGACCCAGTGTGGAGGGAACCTTTTCATGTCGCAGCCATGAACAGGTTCTGGGATTCTGAGCAGCTGCTAGAATATCTGCATAGTGGACAGGGACACCTACGGAGTCTTTGTTTTGGCCCACCTCATGGCTGCCCCCTGGTGGCCGCTCTTACAAGGTACCCATATGGCAGACAAATGTTGTGCATGGGAGCCTTCCCTAGGACTCTCCCTTCAGGGCACTCAGGCCACAGCAGCCTACGTTAGACAACATGAAGGCCCTGAGCTTTTGTGCTAAGAGTAATAGGAAGCCATTGAAGACATGGAAGCAAGTGTTTGATGAAATCTATGTTCTTAGGGGTCAACTTGGCCCAGTGTGGAGGATGGGCTGGTATAGTGGCAAGGGCTGTGTAACAGGGAAGACCATTCTGGAAGCTTTTGCAGGATTCTGGGTGAAATGAGAGGGCAGCCTGGATGAGGGTGTCTGCAGACTGGATGAGGGTGTTTGCAGAGTGGGTGATGGTGTTTGCTGTCTGGCTGTCTCTCTCTGTCCCTCTACATCTCATGGATTTTCTCTCAGCCTACACACAGGCCCTTCTGATCTTAGTCAGCTTCGTGTGACCCATGTCAATCCTGGGCCCTGGCTGCTAGATGGGGACCACGCCTGTACTCGACCCAAGCCAGATGTCTACAAGTTTTCCCTGAGTGCCTCAGCAGCCACTGGGCACTGGGGTCACAGAGAAATGACCAGTCAGGAGAGTAAGCAGAAAGGACCATGGAGGCCTAGCTCCCTGTGAGCTTGGAAGAAGGATCATGAAGAAGGAAAGTCAGGCACCCAGAGCTCAGGGGAGCCCATCCATCAGCACCACGAAGGCACAGCCATCAGTCAGTGTTGTTTGAACACAAGTCTTCAGAACACAAGAGGAGAGAGCCAGGTGGGTCTGAGATATCATCTTGTCCAGCCTCCCTTTCCCAGCTGATGAGGAAACTGAGGCTCAGAGAGGTGGGGTCTCTTGACTGCAGGCTGATCCATCTCCTCAATGCACCACGACGTTCCTTGATCGGTTCCTGGCATCTGGTTTTGCTTTTTATTTTTCTTCACACATCAACAACTTTTCTAATATAGCATTTGGAGTTTCACTGAAATGTCATAAGTCCCTCAGTGTACCCTGGCCCCAAGCAGGGCTGACATTCGTCAAGTCCTCCTGCTGTCTGCTGACGTCACCACCATCCCCTTTACCACTGTTCGGACAAACTTGAGACAGAAACTTGCCCCCGAAGCGGGAAAGGAGCCACGAGAGCAGGGAATGACTCGAACAAGTCCAGCTTGGCGAGTAGCTAAGTTTATTAGGACTTACACACAGGGCACTCAGCAAGACAGCTCCCCCAGTCTCTAAACTGCTTGTCAGCTAATTTTCTGGCTCTTTGTCTACTGTATATGAGCAATGAGACTTTTACTTGGTTGGTTCTCAGACACTCTCCAGGATATTTGGATTCTTAGAGACACCTGGTCCTCAGTTGGGCACCATGGCCATGGCTCATTACCTGGCCTTCAGAGTTCAAGCAGGGGACATACACCCTTAAATAACCTAAAGGAAACCCATCACACTACAACCACCACCACCATCATCAAGAAGCCACTGGCTGACTCAGATACACTCCCGGGAGGACAAGGGAGAGTGGATGCTGGAAAGACAGGGCGAGACACCATCACCAGGGAAAGACTCCATTCTTGGAAGGACATCAAACTGGAGGGTGGGTCTGCAGTGGAGCTGCTATTTCTTCTCCTGTATCCAACTATTCTAACTCTGGCTTTCTCCATTTTCAGCTCTTTCTTTTCCTGGTCTTCTCATTGCTGGTTCCTGTGCGCCTCCCTCTCTTCCTCCCCCAATATATTCTTTAGTCTAGAGTAAACTGCTTCTTCCCATTCCCCACAGTCTCCAGTCCCCTCTCCTCCCTTAATCCAGGCCCCAGCGTTTCTGCCTTCTCCTTGACGCACTTGCCATCTTGAATAACCCCTCCCCTGCTGTGCTCAACTACAGACGCCAAAGTTCCTAACACTCAGTTCCATAAACTTTACCTCGTCCTCTTTATACCCCTAAGAAACGTCTGCATTTTGTCCCAGCTTGTGTCTGGCTCACCTTCCCTGGTGGTGGCACTGCTCTGGGGTCACTGGGCCCAGCCTGCCTTTAGACTCTGATGGATCTGGGTGAGTTCGTTTAGATTCTTCTGCAGTTCCTGAGCCCACTGCCTCAGCTCCTCAGCAGACTCGGATTTTGCCCCCTCATGCAAGTGCTGTGAGTCTTGCACAAGCTGGACCACATCCAGCACAAGGAGGGCTCCTGAAGCGGCCTTCGGGACTGCTTTTCTCACCATCCGTTTGGCGGCTCCAGGTGTTTTCAGCTCATCAATAACATTTGTAGGTATGAGTCGCCTAATGTTCAAAGGGCGTCCAACAGTGGCTTTAGATCTCCTGAGTGTACGGACATCATTCGCAATCATTTTTGTGACTTCGTCAAAATCAAGCGCAAAAGAAAGCACGCTGGGCGTGATTTTGCTCAAAGTGTCCCCTAATACCTTCAACAGGTCACGGCTGGTCGCAGTCAGCCTGCTGGCTCGGAGTTCTGCCGACTTCGTGTATGTGTTCTCCACGATGCTGGTGCCGATCCCAGTCGTAGCAGATGCTATTCCCAGCCCTAACCCAACTGCAGTGACGCCCAGGCTCAGCCCTGCTGTAAATGGTGCCAGCAAAAAGCCAACGACAGACAAGACGCCAGAGGCAGTGCCAGTGGAGCCGGACACCACGTTGGCGATAGTGCAACCTCTGTGGAACTCTTCAATCTCATTTGCAATAACACGAATCCTTTCTATGGACTCCTGAATCTTCCAGCTGAGTTGAGGAAACTGTTTCAAAAACCACTCCCTAAGCTGCTGGTCTTTTTGCTGCACGTCTTTGTCCTCATATGGTGTAAGATTCTTCAGAGCTTCATAGAGAGCATCTGCCTCGTCCCTGTACCAATAAAGGACAGATGATGAAGAAAGGCAGCTTACTTATGTGTCAAATGAGCTCACTAAGATCTGTTCTACATAAATCACAGAGCTGTTACTATGAGTCAAATGGAAATAAAGTTCTAAAAGGTAAAGAATTATTTTCAAGGCCAGGCGCATTGGCTCACACCTGTAATCCCAACACTTTGGGAGGCTGAGGCGGGTGGATCACAAGGTCAGGAGATCGAGACCATCCTGGCTAACACGTTGAACCCCCATCTCTACTAAAAATGCAAAAAAAATTAGCCGGGCGTGGTGGCGGGCGCCTGTAGTCCTAGCTACTCGGGAGGCTGAGGTGGGAGAATGGCGTGAACCCGGGAGGCGGAGCTTGCAGTGAGCTGAGATCAGGCCACTGCACTCCAGCCTGAGCGATAGAGCGAGACTCCGTCTCGAATAATTTTCAAGGTTAAATAAGTTTTATGCAACTTAGATACGCCACAGTACTTATTCAGTATGGGAAAAAATAAGTTAAAGTCATCTCCAGATGCTCCTTAGTGGCTATGTGTTTGATAAAGATGGCTCCTCATGCGAGGGAGGTCGATGCCATCACTACCAGAGTGTGTGGAAAGGGGAAACTTTGTAGATGAACAAAGAGAAGTGGGTTCAGAGCAAAAAGACCTTCATTCAGAGGATCATAGAACAGTGAAGAATTAACTTGAACAGAAGAGAGCTCATCCCTTTGTCCTCGGCCCCTGGGAAGTGATCTCTGGGGCCCTGGAATGTCCTGACTGGTAGGAACGTCTTTGTTTCCCTGGTAGTTTGGCTACAGGCCAGTATAGCAATGTGATGGGTGATGGGGGTTTGGGGCTATTAAGTGTCTCATCTGCCCTCCAGAAGAACTGGGGACTAAAGGGGTTAGACCTTGGGAAGGGGCTGGAGACTCCATGCCAGCCATGAGGGCAGCTTGTGATCCAGTCCCAGGAAGAGCTCTGCATTGAGTCATGAGCTGAGAAAGACTTACTCCTTGGCCAAACTCCAGCCAGGCTGTTCTGAGCCTCTTCTCCTCTAGGCGTTGACCTTGGCTTTCCGCACCCATCCTGTGCTTGCTGGGCCTGCACCACCCCAGCTCAGCAAGAATTCCCCAAAGTCAATTTACAGAGGATCCCCCCGGCTTGCTGTCTGAGGACACTTGCTCTCCGATTACAGTCTTCACCCATTCATTTGATGGGTGAGTGTCTGAGCTGCCCTTAGGTGAGCATCCTGTTAGTCCAGTGTAGCAGAAACCCCCCACTCCGGTGTCTCTTGTCAGTCCTGTTCCATCTGCCGCCCCTCACCCTGGTGTTGGCTGTGACTCCCCCCCGCCCCCCTCACCCCCGTCTTTACTGTATTCAGAGCTGGGCTCGGTCTCCCTCCCCTGTAACAACCATCCTGAATAAAGGCTTCCTTCCTGATTTCATGTGGTTCACAGGAATTTTTCCTTAACTGGGTGAACTTCCCTGGTTGGCAGCACCCCATGTGTCTTGTCCCACATTGACACAGGAGATCACAGCGTCCTGAGGACAATGAAGCTTCACACCTGAAGTCCTCCCAGACTCTGCCCTGTGTGTCTCTTCCTTAGGCTGATTTTCATCTGTGTTCTTTCCCTATGATAAATCACAATCGTGCAATAACAGTTTTCAGTGAGTTACGCGAGTCCTTGTAGTGAATTACCCAACCCGAGGGGGGCTTAAGAAAGCCCCTCAAGTTTGCAACTGATGTCAGAAGGAAGGGTGCACCCAAACGTTGCAGTTCGTCTAAATCTGAGTCCTTAAGAATTCAAACACAGCCTCAGACTAGAAGACATCAATTTGCCTGGCATGTTATCTCTTCCAACGCCTCATGCCCTTTGACTTTCTGACTGAAGGCCACTGGGTCCAGCCACTGCCCCCTGTGACTGAAAAGTAAAAGACTTCGCTGTTAGTCTTGGCTCCACGCAAACTCTCAAGCCACTTTACTGCCTCCTGACCTGGCACCTCCAAACTTCAGGGTCTCACTTTCACATGTCACCAGCCAAACTAATGCCTTAGCAGGTGACAGCTTCACTTGTGTGCATGTCAAGGCCATGTACAATTTCATGGAACCTCTTGAGGACTCATGAGACCTTGAAAATCATCTCTATAAATTGCTAATGCTGAAAAGACCTACATTTGGACAAGATGGTAGAGAAGGTGTTTTTCTCTTTGGTGGGGGACTTGTGAGTCTCCCAAGGACCCTTCAAATTACACCAGTTGAATCCACTCGTCCCCACTCTGGAAGTTGGCCTGAAGAAACACTGCCTCTACTCTATGTAGAACAGAAGAGGATTTCAAATGGCAGCTCAGAACTCCCCAGTTCCCAGGCATGGTGTGGGGGAAACAGTCACCCATGGCCCATTACACCCATCAGTGATGGGATCAAATCAGGGAGGGAAGAAATATCCCTCTCCCACTCACGTGTCCTCTGCGAGTCCATGACCGCGTTACATTTCATGCTCTCAGAGCCTCCCTCCTCTCACCCCCCTCCTGGCCTTGATGCCCCAGCCTTCCTACTGCTCCTCCAATCTAGGCCCACCCCTGCCCCACCCTGACCCCTGGCTCTGCCCTTGGCAAGGTCTCTTTGGGTCTTTGGGTGGCATCATGCTATTTGGTTCCCCGCCTTTGACCTGGAGTTCATTCTAAGGCCTTCACCACACTCCCATCTGATTGAATTACTAATAGCATTGGACGGATGACAGGTCCCAGTCTCTAAGACTTAAGCCAAGAGCCCCGGAGCTGTGCAGGGACAGAGCCGGGATCCATCCCAGCTCTGTCCAACTCCATTCCAGCCTCTCTGTGTCCTGGGTCAGCAGAAGGATTCTGCTGTGTTTGTGCAGTTCCCCAGAGGTACAGGAAAAGGGCCCCAGACAGCATCTCCAGGAACACACACTGATCAGGTCAAGATTTTTCTGACTTTTCCCAAAGAAAGTCCTGCTGGGCTTCCATCTCTAAGAAAAAGACTTTTGGCTCTGATCTCTTCCCAGGAAGTTTTGTGAAAGGTAACATGAACTGAGCACCTACCATGTGTCAGTCATTATGCTAAATACTTTACATGCATTATCTTACTTTTCTCACAATAAAGCTCAATGGATGAAGAAAGGAAAGCAGAAAGTAGTCAAGTAGATTGCAAAGCTCCCATCACCAGTAGATGGCAGAACTGATCCTGCCCTTCTGGGCTTCCTCCCCCCTCAGCCTGAGGCCACTCACTGCCAGCAAAGGACATGGAGGAAATATTCCTTCTGGGCTGCTGAGAGGGATGTCCTCAAGCCCAGCAGAAGGAGCTGCCTGGAGGAGGTGTGCCTGCCAGAGAAAACTAGCCCAGGGGAGATCTGGGTGGCATCACTGGGGCGCCCCATGGAGGTTACCTGGGCAATTCAGCCACAGCTACCAATCTCTTCCAGGCTTCATCGTCAGTCAGCAGGATTTTCAGATGCCCTGGGCTAACATTCTTCTGGAAGTATTCGGTGACTTTTTCAGTGAAGCATTTCTTTTCTAGTTGGAAACAAAAAGGATAAGACAGGAGGAAAGTGTTCTACCACATAAATGGCCCTGAATATAAGGTGGTTCGATGTTAATCCTCCTGACCAGCTGTCACATGGGGTAGTTTTGATGGAGGCACCAGTGCTATAGAGTGAATTGTGTGCCCCCCAAATTCATATACTGAGGCCCTAAACTTCAGTGACTATATTTGGAGATCGAGCCTTTAAGGAAGTCATTAATTTAAAGGCAGTCATAAGGATAGGGCCCTAATCCTATAGGACTGGTGTCCAATTAAAAGAAAAAAAGAGACAGAGGATCTCTCTCTCTCTCTCTCTCTCTCTCTCTCTCTCTCTCTCTCTCACACACACACACACACACACACACACACTGGGAAGGCCATGTGAGGACACAGCACTGAGGCAGCCTCTGCAAGCCAGGAGCAGAGCCCTCCCCAGACATCAACCCTGCTGGCACCTTCACCTTGGACTTCTTGCCTCCAGAACTGTGAGAAAATAAGTCAGTTGTTGAAGCCACCCAGCCTGTGGCATTTTACTGAGGCATCCTGAGAAGAGTGATTCAGCAGGAAAGTGGCACGGTGCTTTGTGGAGCAACCCATCTATTTCAGCTGAGAATCACCAGAAAGTAAGAGCTTTCCACCACGTTTCCTCCCCATGTAAGGGAAATCTTCCAAGATGGCTTCCTTCTGCTGTGTACCTATTGTCAAACACTTTAAACCAGTGTCTTCAAAATCTGAGTTTCGACCCGTCAGTGGGTTATTACAATAGTTCATGTGTCAAAAGCAGCATTTTAAAAAGAAAGAGCATTGAAAATATCAGAGTGTATTGAACATAGCAAGAGTGAGTATTCTTTTGTAAGATATTATATGTGTGTGTGTGTGTGTGTGTGTGTGTGTGTATTTCTGGGATCTGGATGTGTTTAGCACGGCAGCATTTTCAATCTTTTAGAAGTGACACAGGGTGCATATGCTGTATCACTGACCACTCGCAGAGTGGTCAACGGTACAAATGTTTTAACCTTGTAATCAAAGGTACGAGTGTTTCAACAGAGAAACCAATGAATATTCACCTTAAATGAGATACATAATATTACTGCTACAAAGCATCTTAGTACACAGCAGGATTACTGCCCAGATGAGTTGCCCAAAAAATGTGTGGTTTGCAGGGATTTAGGAATAACGGAACTGCAGAGAAGGGACTGGGAAGCAGTATGTATTTATGTATGCACTGGGGCATGATGTAAAATTGTTTCCTGCCCTGGAGGCACTTGCAAGGCCTCGTTCTCATTTCACAGAAGGAGAAATTGAGACCCAGACAGTGAGAGACACCTCCCAACCCAGCAAGCAGGAAGCTCAGGATTTGACTCCCAGGCCAGCGTTCCCTTGCCATTGCTTTGAAGACGCCATATATTTTTTAAATGCCTGTGGTTTCTGCATTCTCCCCTGTAGTATACCTGTGGAGTTTTAAACATTTTATTTGCATTCTCCCCTGTAATATACCTGTGGAGTTTTAAACATTTTATTTGCATTCTCCCCTGTAGTATACCTGTGGGGCTTTAAACATTTTATTTGCACAGAATTTAAACATTTTATTTATTTAAACATTTTATTTTAAACATTTTATTCCTCTTGCGGGTCATGGGGGCTCTCAGGCGGGCAGTGGAGGGGGTTCTTTAGGTGGGCAGGGGGGCGGGACCCTCAGCACTGATCCTTGTGGCCCCTCTGTGTTGCCTCTGTCCCCTGCAGGCTGGTCTCAGGGTACACGGCTCCCCATTATCACCTCTGAGCCCAGCTGGCCCCGTTATTAAACAAGAGATCATCTTGTTTCGGAGGGGGAGTTTCTTCCTTGGCCCCCAGCCTAGCCCTTCCTAAGGATTCCAGGGTCGGCTGGGAGCTCCGGGCTTCTAATCTTCTCCACCCTCCCCTGGTCTTGGACAGGACTCAGCACAGGCCAGTTTGCTGTCCAGGGCAGCTCCTGAGCAGAGCTGACTTGGTTGCCACTGCAACTCTGTAAGGGGAGGAAGCCGTCCTGAGGAAATGGGGCTTAGGGAAATGAACGCAGTGCTGACTCGGCTGGGCGAGGGCTTGTCTTGTTTTTTCTCTTTCCTTCTTCACCAAAAGGAGGAAGGAAACCCAGGGTTGGATGGAAGGAACCTCCAGCACTAAATTTGTGTTTTATTGATGGGGTGGGGATGGTGAATATTAAAGCAAAATTAAAATAAAAACCAAGCCTGAAACATTCCTGGGCAAACAAAACCAACCAGACCTTGAGAACGGCTGTAATCCCCGCTTAAACTGCAAGCTGTGGGAAACTGAACTGGGGTCATATCAGATGGCCGCTTCTGTTAGACACAAACAAAACTTAACCTCGGCCAGTCACAAGCAGCCAGCTGACAGAGGGCCATGCTGAGATGGGAATACTGGGAGGTCACAGAAGAAACAAGAACTCCAGGCAGCAGGTTCACATGACGGACACAGAAGGAGCTGCTGAAACCAGCTGCAGGGACAGGGGGAGGCGACGGGCCCACAGGACCCTGACGAACAGGAAGTGGCCAATCCGGCTAAGACCAGTAAGATCTAACTCAGTGCTGGGTCTGACCCACTTTTCACCCCAGACTCAATCATACCCTCCTTGTCCCATACCCACCCGCGCCACAGCAGTTCCATTCTTGCTGCAAAACTGCGTGGCCCCCCAGTTCCAAGAAATCTCTGCCTCTTCCCATAGATCCTTATGCTTACTCTGCCCATTAGCTTAGTAAACCCACAAAAACAAAAACACCAAACCCCACTGGGCCCGACTGGCTCTTCTGAGTCCGCCTGCACTCCCACCCCCGAGCCTGCGCTTCCGCTTTGCAATAAAAGCTGATTTGCTTTGGCTTTGACTCAAATTTTTTCTCTCTTCGGTGTCAGAAACTGGACAAGGCTAAGGTCCGGTCTCACCTGCATTCAGAGACCTCCCTAAACCCACCGGCATCAACGTGACCAGGAATTTTCCAACAAGGTAAACCAAAACAAGAAGTTTTATAACTGGAACTAATCAAATAATGTCCTTATTGCACTTCCATATTCACCCAATAAACACTTGTCTCCCACACTTTTTCATCATAACACGAAACCTCCTCCAGTTTGGTTTTCTCAATTCATGAACTCCTTCTTATTCAGATAAATGTGATTGTGCCTCAGATGTTTCTTTGACAAGGGATATGTTAGATGATTGGACTCAGCCCTGGTAAAGAGATGCTTGTGATGGGCAGCTCAGGGCAGGTGCCCCTAACACAGCTGGGGAAGGGGATGGTTTCCCCTTAGAATCAACAGGGGTCAGGTGGAGGGGATGGGAACCAGCTCTTAGGGAGGCCGTAGTTTGTGGCAGGCACTGGCTGGTCCAGGTACCCATGTAATGTTTGATCCTCATGACAACGTGGGCAAATATCCTGGTGGTGCAGTTGAGGACGACTAAGGAGCTCCAGGTCACACAGAAGGCACATGGCCAAGACCACAATGGGGTCCAGTTCACTGGAAAGCTGGATCACTCTACCCACAGGGCCACTCAAAGCAGACGGACTGGTGTGGGGCAAGAGCTGGAGAAAGGGGACCAGCCTCTCCTGGAAACACCCCAGGGTCAGCCAGGAGCAGAGTAGGAGGTAAGAGGTCAGGGCTGCTGGTCAACCTCCTCTCCCACCTCTCCCGTACTTCTGGCCCCTGCTCTCCCCCCGCAAAACCCAACCCTGCTGTTTCCCCTTCCCCAAGGCCGTCCTGCCCCACTTGAGTCATTTGCTAGGTGCCAGGGTAGGGAGGAGGTGGGCACCTGGGCCATGCCCCCCCTGAGGAGAGGTCAGGATGCAGATGCCCCCCCAGACCCCTGGTTCGGGGGACTCCACATGGCCTCTCTTGGGGCTCAGGGCAGACTCATCGGCCACCTCCATCTGGGCTCTGTTGGGGCTCACTCAGCCTTGGAGACACCACCCTCCATTGTAGCTGTGGGTACGAAACAGCCAGGGAAGAGGAGGCAAGCTTACCAGCAGCCAGGTCACTGAGAGGCTTACCATGGAATTGCCCAGCCATTGTCCTGCCTGGATGGTTTTGCTGCATCCTTGAGGAGGAGAAAACAAATTGTGGGATTGACTGTGAGGCACCTGTGGACAGAGGGAGGCTTGAGTAGTTGGGGCTCTGCAGATCCCTCTGAGGTGGCAGCAAATGCCAAGACCAACCTAACCCAGATTGTTTCTCTATCATCGAGTCCCCATCATCTGCTGTTTACAGACACTTAACTCCCTCCAGCTCCCTCTGCCCTCACTCCCACAGCAAGGAAAAGTCCACTTGTCCTGTTGGAGAATGAAGAGAAGATAATCAGAGGAGGGGCAGCCATCTGATCATTACAGAAACTATGGAGTCCATACACAGGAATAGAGTTGGGGAGGAAGGTTCTGACAATGACCTGGGCCTGGGAACATGTGTGATAACTGGTTGATGATAGCCAGTGTGTATTGCGTGTCTGTGATGTGCAGGGCTTCTTTTTAAATTTTTATTTATTTGTTTTTCTTGAGATGGAGTCTCGCTCTGTCACCCAGGTAGAGTGCAGTGGTGCAATCTCCAGCTCACTGCAAGCTCCGCCCCCTGGAGTTCACCGTTGCCGGGTCTCCTCCTGACCTACCGCCGTAGCTGGGACTACAGGTGCCCGCCACCACACCCGGCTAATTTTTTATATTTTTAGTAGAAACAGAGTTTCACCGTGTTAGCCAGAAGGGTCTTGATCTCCTGACCTCGTGATCCGCCCGCCTTGGCCTCCCAAAGTGCTGGGATTACAGGTGTGAGCCACCGCGCCTAGCCTGTAATGTGCAGGGCTCCTTACACGTGTCTCATTCGATGATCACACACAGCCCGGGAGATGGGTACCACCTTCCCATTCAAACACAGAGGAATCCACAAAAGTTAGGGAACTTGCCCGTGTTTTCACAATAGTGCTAGAGCCAGGACTTCTGCTTCAATCCCATGTCTTCAATGACTGTGCTCTACTCCCTTCAATATACAATATTGAGTCATGTATACACGCTCATGGGAAATGACTCCTCATTGCAAATCCGTGTCTCACACTCTGTGCTCAACTCTTCGTCTTGGTGAATTCACTGCTGCTGCAGCGGACAGCCTGTGTCCCCGTCGCTTCTCTAAGGTCCTTTGTCCCACAAAGACCTGGATCCTACCAGATGCCGGCGCAGCCCCTGCTGTGGCTGCCGAGCCCTCCTGGTGCTGCCCTGTCCCCTCTGCTGTCCCCTGCTAGCTGATGGACATAGGGTGTTTCTAATTCTTCATGTAAATTATGCTACAAAGAACATCCTCCTTCAAGTAAAACTGCCCACATTTGATTTTATTTCCTTAAGATATTCGTAGGAGTAGAATGACTAGGTCAGAGGCTATCAACATCTCAAAATGTTTTATGCCTAGAGCCACACTGCATGCAAGTTGTACCAATTCACACTCGAACTAGCAGTACATGAAGATGCCCATTCTCTCAGTCTCACTGGCTCTCAGTAGTCTCTTCTTTAGGACAAACAAACAAAAAACCATATACACAACATGTAAATGTGAGAACTAAATATACTTCTTACCAATACCAATTAGTACAAAATTTAAAGCACAAAGGTAGCAGTTGGGATGTGAAACACTGAACGAAGCAGAAGGAGGATTAATATTGCCATTTTTTGAAGAAGGAAGTTAAGAAATACTGGGTACAACTGACGATATAAGAAAGTTGTAAGTAAATTGTTTACAGCTGCAAAGTTGCTAATGGAAGACGTAAAACTGGTGATACAATGTTAGGAAAAGGTGGAGAGGAGAGATGGAGGGTACAAATAAGATGAAAATGACTAATAATGATACTATAATTACTACTAATAATACGGCATCAGGCCCATCGCAGTCAGGGGCGGCTCCAGGCATTACCATTTCTCTTTTCTCACCGTGTGTCTCTGCTCACTCCCTGGCACACCCACTTCCAGCAGCTGGTCTTTGTTTGCAGCCTTTATTTTCACAGCTCAGTGGTTTCCGGGCCCCCTGATGGGGTTCCACCCTCCAGCTCTCATACAAAAGCCCCCTCCTCAAAAGCCACTCGCCTCCCTCTTTCCCCTTCCTGCCTTTGTCCCAGGGTTCAGGCACCCAGATGTCTGTCTTCTGGGGCCCCCCTGCAGCAAGGGTAAAAGGGGGACCCAGTCCTGGGCAGCAGTTCACCAAGGGAGTACGCAGAGGGGCATCTGGGCACTTCTTGCTGTAAGGGACACGGGTGACAGGAGAGGGGCATCCCTTCCCCTTGTTCCTGCTTTGTTCACTGTGAGAGCCCTTAGGCCAGGACAGCCATCTCAACACCATGAGCCATGAGGACCAGGAGGACCAAAAGAGAGCAGAGGAGCAGGAGGGCAGAGAGAGCTGGGGCCTCAGACTCGTCCAACACTTGTGAGGAGCTGCACCCAGGATCCCATCCTCCTTGGTCATTTGTTGGCCTGGCTCAGACCCTGATCTGGGGTCTCTACTGAATGTTGAGGCTAGATACTGACTGTTAGCCTCAAGTAGGACACAACACGTCCTCCCTGGGCGAGTCTGCCAGTTGGTCAATTCCCGGAAGTGACTTTGGTTCCTAGAAAAAGCCCAGATGGCGCCTGGCCCAGTCCAACCCCTCCCCAATTGTGCAGCCCAGACAGGGAGCCCTCCATCCTGCCTCAGGGCTCTGAGCCAAGCTCACCAGATGCAGAGGACAAAGACTCTCAGCAAAGAGGCTCCCTCCACGTCACGGGCTCCAGGGCCTCCTCCTTGGGCAGGAAAAGAGGAGTTGAGAAGTGTGCTCCTCCTGAGAAATCACCATTTTCATTTCATTTTTGAGAAACGGTTTTGCTCTGTCGCCCAGGCTGCAGGGCTTTGGTGCCATCATAGCTCGTTGCAGCCTTGATCTGCTGGGCTCAAGTGATCCTCCTCCTTCAACCTCCTGAGTAGCTGGGACTACAGGTGCACGCCACCATGCTGGGCTAATTTGTTCATTTTTGATTTCATAGAGACAGCGTCTCCTGTGTTGCCCAGGCTGTCTTGAACTCCTGGCCTCTAGTGATCCTCCTGCCTCTGCCTCCCACAGCACTGGGGTTACAGGCTTCAGCATCTCTTTTTGGTGAAGAACAAATAAGACCGTGACTCAGATTTCACAGAAATTTCCCCCCTGGGCCGGGCGCGGTGGCTCACGCCTGTAATCCCAGCACTTTGGGAGGCCGAGGCGGGCGGATCACGAGGTCAGGAGATCGAGACCAGCCTGGCTAACACGGTGAAACCCCGTCTCTACTTTAAAAATACAAAAAACTAGCCGGGCGAGGTGGCGGCGCCTGTAGTCCCAGCTACTAGGGAGGCTGAGGCAGGAGAATGGCGTGAACCTGGGGGACGGAGCTTGCAGTGAGCTGAGATATGGCCACTGCGCTCCAGCCTGGGCGACAGAGCGAGACTCCGTCTCAAAAAAAAAAAAAAAAAAAAAAAGAAATTTCCCCCCTGATTTCATGTAATTTTGGCAGCTCTATCAGGATTTCAAGAGGGGAAAATCTCAGGCTGGGAGCGGAGGTGACTTGCCCAGAGTCACACAGCTCTTGGAGGGCAGAGGGGAGGCCAACATCTGGCCTTGTGACTCTGATATTGAAGCAAAAATGGGTGATTTTAGTAATCCAAAAATGTCCAGGTTTGATTCTACTTCTACAAACACAGAGATCTAAGCTCACACTCCTGTGGTTATGATCACAGTTCCACAGTGTGGCTTTTGAATCTCATGATTGCAAAGCTGGCATCATGCCACAGGCACCATTCTGCAAGGCGCCCTGCTCACTCCCCTGTCTCAGCCATGTTTCCCATTAGGGACACAGCACATCCTGTTTCTTCTCCATCCCCCCAGGGTTCTGAACAGAGGGACAGAGGTGAGGGCCAGTGATGTGGAGTCCTATGAGCTACCTGCTCAACCTCCTGACACTGGACTCTGGGCAAGTCAGTCCCCTCCCAGGGCCTCAGTTTCCCCACAGGGCCTGGTACAAGGTGGTGCTCAGACTCAAGGGGGGTGAGATGACCTCTAGGTTCCTTGTATCTCAAAAGAAATCTTTCCCCATCGGGCCTCAGCAGCAGCACCCTGGGGCCAGCCTGGGTGTGGCCACGCCACAAGGACAGGCCGGACTCCAGGTCACATCCCCACCTCCACCTTCTCTGATTCCTTCAAATTTCCCAAAGAGACAGGCACCCCCAACACAAACCTTCCTTCTGGGGTCCCCCAGCCATGTCTCCACAGTCTAAACCAGAGCTGAACCCAGGGAGCTTTGTGAACCCATCTGAGCTGTTTCCCGGCCTCTCTCTGCTGTTTAAGGGCACAGCAGGAGGGAGGGAGCATCAGACTCAAGCCTGGGTGCAAATCCAGGCTCTGCCACTGCTTTCCTGTCTGATCTGAACCAGTTACTAACCTCTCTGAGCTTATCTACAAAAGTGGAATGATCCTTCCCTCATGGAGCTATTGTGAGAATAAGGAGATGGGGACAGGTCAATGGTCCCCGACTTACCGAGGAATCTTCCCCCGACAGAGACTGAGCAAGATCCAGCTGTTCTGAGCTGTGTGGATCCCACCTCCAGTTATGCATCTGTGTAATAAACACACACGTCCTCCCACCCCTAAGATGTACCCAGGAATTCCAAAGGGAAAGTGAAAGTCACAACTTCCCAGCAGCTGGTGATCAAGTGTAGCAAACAGGCTGCTCCCCAGCACCACCTTCAGTCCATCCCCGCCCTCCTTGCTGCTGCACTTACAGGAGCAGCCCCAGACCAGACATCCAGGTCTCTTTCATCCAACCCACCTGCCTCGCATCCTCAGGGTTGGGGGTCTGCTATGGTCTCAGGAAGAAAGACCTGCCACTGACAGACTGTGAGACCCTCCAGATTACTCCCCATCCTCCCGTGCACCCACACTCCCCAGATGCCTGCCTTCCGCCCGCCTGTGCCACCAGCATTTGCACAATCTCCCACACATACCAAGTGGATGCTTATTGTATATTTGTTGTAATGCTGTTGGGGGTTATTTTGTTTATATTTTTGAGACAGGGTCTCACTCTGTAGCCAAGGCTGAAGTGCAGTGCCACAATCACAGCGAACTACAGCTTCCAACTCCTGGGCTCAAGCCATCCTCCTACCTCAGCCTCCTGAGTAGCTGGTTCTACAGCCGTCAGCCAACCGCCCAGCTAATTTTTAAATAAAATTATATTAGAGATGGTGTATCACTATATTGACTGGGCTACTCTTGAACTCCAGGCCTCAAGTGAGCCTCCCACCTTGGCATGAGCCACCGCCCCAGGCCTGCTCTTGTTGAAGGCCATGCCTTGTGGCTTTTACACATTTGCTTATGTGGGATCTTCTGCCAGGAGCACCGGCTTCCACCATCTGGAAAAATCATGCTCATCCTTCAATGACAAAATCAGGCATTGCCTCCTTTCAGAGAACCCCCAGCATCCTCCCCTGCAGAGGCCACCGCCCCATGTTCCACTCCCGAGGCACACTGGGTGGAGGGACTAGAGACCACTGCTCACCACACTTCCATGGCTAAGAAGTCAGGCAACCAGATTGCTGCTGGACTTTTGTGCTTTGCCCCAGGCAGAAGGGCCTCAGAGGCAGCTAAACCACAGAAGCCAAACTGACCCTTCCATGGAAGCCTATTTCATCCTCAGCAAACATCTCTGGGGACATCGTGGCCACCTCCTCCCACCCACACACCCACACACACACACACACACACACACACACACACACCAGTTTCTGAGGGAGGAATAGAAAGGTGATTACACAGGGACTGCACAATATACTTTGCAATACATTCCATTTGCAAATACTTCTCCATTTGATTGAATTTTATAATCATCCCCTCAATGGGCCAGGATTATGATCTGAGTTTTCAGATGAGGAAACTGAGGCAAGAAGAGAGGAAGTTGCTTTCATCCAGCAACTCAGGGAGGAGGCAAGACTTGTAAACCAAAGAGGGTCTAAGACACATCTCAGTCAGTTTAGAGGTTTACTCTGTCAAGGTTGAGGATGCACCCAGGAAAAAGACACACAAGTCACAGGAGGATCTGGGGCCCACTCACTATTCACAGGGCCTTCTGAGGGCTTCAACATTTAAATGTGTAAAATCAGGCAGGAGTGGTAGGAGGAAAGGAAAAAAGACAGGATAGGTAATGAACTGAGTGGTCACATTTTTGTGAGGCTTTGATTGACCCTCCCTGAATCCACAGGTTCCATGTGAAAGGGGGTTAGAGGAACAGTCCATTATTCATTCATCTCATGCACAGTTAATCTACATTTTCTATTAGATAAAAATAAACAGAAACTAGAGGAAGTAGGCATATGTGCATTTGTCTGAGGGTGGGCAGAAGGGTCACTTCCGGTCTTGTCATCGTTATGTACCAGTCCAGATAAGTTGCCAATTTGCATTGTCACAGTGAAATTATACAAAGTCTGTCTCAGGGTAAAAATTTGGGGACTTACAGGGATTTTCCTTGTGAGGAATTTGTGAGGCAGGCCAACTGAGATATATGTTGCCTTCCATCTTTGCAAATATCTGTTTAGAAACCAAAACAAAGGCAGATTTTGGAGTGGCTCTGTTTCCGAGCTTAACTGGCTGCACTGGCATAGTGAGTTTGGGGCCCTGAGATTTGATTTTCCTTTCACATTTTCTTTGTTCTTCAACATCTTTTGGAGAAAACAGTGTGGAAGCAAATGAATCTCCAGTCATGGCGTTGGTCTGAATTTTGTAACACAAAGTATTCCACCTTCCGTTTGCAGGGCTTAGAAAAAGACAGTTTTGATTTCTGGTGATGCCAAGTCAGAAAAATGAGAGAAAAACAAAAGGAAAGTGTTAGTTTGGAGACTTGTAGCCAGGAAAGAATTCAGTATCTAGTCCAGATAAATTGTAGACAAGTAATAAAGCTGGAAAACAATGGACTAAACTAGAATCTCATAACAGATGTTTTATAGTTTCTTTTAAAAGATACCTTTTCTCTCTCTAGTCCTCTATTTCTACCAAAGACAAATCAGAGTAGGATGAATTTATTCGCAAAATAAGTTTTGGTCTTATAATACTTGACCTGATTATTTGCATAAAGTACAGAAGAATAATTATGTGGCATATGGAGTCTTTTTTAAAATTTGACTTTGCTAAACCATTTTCGTATTCATAAGCCATTTCAGAGTAGGCCTTTTATAATCTTGAGCTCAGCCATGAATTTATGTTTGCCTGCAGATACCTGTATGAATTGGATGAGTTCCTTTCTTTTCGAGGCTCCATCATCACTTGGGCTTCCCGGGCCTGTTAGAAAGTGATTTTCTTTATTTACCACAGTTCAGGAACCCTGTAAAGGAACTCTATAGGCAAAAGAATTAATAAAGGACTGAAATTTATTTTCAGTCATTTCAGACAGAGCAGAATGTCGCTGTCTCCCAGGCTGGAGTGCAATGGCGCAATCTTGGCTCACAGTAAGCTCTGCCTCCCGGGTTCACGCCATTCTCCTGCCTCAGCCTCCCGAGTAGCTGGGACTACAGGCACCCGCTGCCACACCAGCTAATTTTTTGTATTTTTAGTAGAGACGGGGTTTCACTGTGTTAGCCAGGATGGTCTCAATCTCCTGACCTTGTGATCCCGCCTCGGCCTCCCAAAGTGCTGGGATTACAGGCGTGAGACACCGCACCCGGCCACATCAGCTTTTCAATTAGAGTTCTGAAAGATTTTTTTCTTAGTCCAGTGGCACAGTCTCTAACTGATCAGAAATTGGTTTTTTAGAAGTAAAGTAAAACACTTCTTGCAGATAACAAAAGTATTAAAACAGCATTGGTAAAGACACAATTGACAAGGAAATTAGGTTATTCCTGTGGCATATAACCACTTAAGATTCATAATTACTTCTGATCACATATGCTAAGACATCTTAGACTTATAGAAATCTCATAGGATGTTGGAACACATATTAATAACACATTTACATAAATATAACCCAAAGAATGTTAAACACCATTTTATATTTGTCATGCTGGACCCCTGTGCTAGTGAGCTGAGAGGGCACAACCTTGAAGAGACAGAAGAAAAGACCTGGAGACAGCAGGACAGACATAACCTTTATTCAGGGAACTTACGTACTGGGAGCCCAGGAGCAGCAGGCGAGACAAGAAATCCCCTCCTGTTTGTCAAATGCATGCAGGTTATATGATATTTTTCCCAGAGCAACCTCCACTTAGCAACCTCTGCCAGGAAACCTTCACCTAGCCCAAAACAAAAGAGCTTGGTTCCTTGCATGGCCTCTGATCCAAGGAATGTGCCAGGGCTGAAGTGTTCTTTTTTTCTTTTTCTTTATCTTTTTCTTTTTTTAGACGGAGTCTCACTCTGTCGCCAAGGCTGGAATGCAATGGCACGATCTCAGTTCACTGCCACCTCCGCATCCCAGGTTCACATGATTCTCCTGCCGCAGCCTTCTGAGTAGCTCGAATTACAGCGTGCACTACCACCCCTGGCCAATTTTTGTATATTTAGTAGAGATGGGGTTTCACCATGTTGGTCAGGCTGTTCTGTAACTCCTGACCTCGTGATCTGCCCGCCTCAGCCTCCCAAATACTGGGAGTGTTCTCCATAGGTATGATGTAAACATCTGGATTAGCCTTTTTGTTCAGCCGGGAACCCTGAACAAAAATTCACCAAGGAATGTGCGGTCATTCTCAGAAGATGCTTGAGTTATAGCTGCCTGACAGGACATGCCAAACGTGCGCTCCACCCCAGCATACCTTTGAATGGCCCTCAAATTCTCACCACACTGTTTTTCTTTGGTTTCCCTAGGGCCAGCTTTGTGGAAGAGCATTGCTGCCAAACAACCCAGCAGCAATATAAGTGCAACAAAGGATTGTGAACACAATTGCAATTACACTAGATACACAGCTCCTCCAGTGTCTGGGAGTTGATTAAACCATGAGATGATAGGACCATAAGACAAAGACTCAATGGCTGGACTCTGGGTATCTAATGCCAGCAAAGCCTGTGTTATGTTATGAGAGTAATGAGGGCGACATACACAACATTTTGTTTTAATTAATGCACAAGTTCCACCCTGGGCAGAAGGTATATGGTTTCAGGTTATGTCCCGGATCACACAATTTTGCAGAAGAACACGCCTGACTGGGTGGTTTCTTCATTGAGAAGAATAAAAGGATGATGAGTATCATTGAAGGCTGCAGCCATGTGTTTAGCCAGGGCATCAATTGCCACTCTGCAATTACGGTTGCCACTTCAGATGTAAACATGGCCAAAGGGTAGAACCACCAGGATGCATGTTTCTGGTGATGTCTAGCTTCTACCGTTTCCCAATAATTGAGGGTTGTGTCTAAATGGGGCACTTTATACTCTAGCCATTCAGGATGCCACCAGGTGCACCTGCCAGTCCAATTGAATGGCAAGTAGGGCCAGGCATGGGTGCCACATGCCTATGACGATCCAATGGGGAGAGGTAGGCACCCACATGTAGCTACTTAGTCTACATTCCAGCTGTACTTGGTGAAATTGTTGTACAGGTAGCCACCCCACATTGTGGGTATTAGCCAACAGCGTGCTGCCATTTATCGATTAATACAAAGTTACACAACCAACTGCCTGTATTTGTACTGCAGTCAGCAGATGCCTAGCCCATCACATACAGCATACCTGACGTGACATTTACCTGTTCACAAATTGAACTGAAAACTTTCTGTGACTGGGCATAGTGGCTCACGCCTCTAATCCCAGCAATTTGGAAGGCCAAGGTGGGTGGATCACCTGAGGTCAGGAGTTCAATTCTAGCCTGGCCAACATGGTGAAACCCTGTCCCTACTAAAAATACAAAAATTAACCAGGCATGGTGGTGGTGCATGCCTGTAATCCCAGCCACTCAGGAGGCTGAGACAGGAGAATTGCTTGATCCTGGGAAGCAGAAGCTACAGTGAGCTACAGTGTTTTGTTTCATTTTCTGGACCATCCTGTTTCCCGTAAAGGAAGTGATTTCCTGAAATCTCTCAAGTGTTCTGAAAATGTGATTTTCTTCTTCACTTTCTCCCTGTTGGCTCAAGATGAATCACAAAACTCCAAATA